TACCACTCGTGGATTGTACCTGAGCTGCTACTGTATGGGATCTTGTGGGAAAGAGCTTCGTCACGCAGGCAGTGTTGAAGCCAGCCTCCGACAAGCCAAAAGCAGCTCTCAGTCCGGCACCACCTGCTCCCACAACCACTGCGTCAAAGTCATGGTCTACCACTGGGTACTGAGTGGAGATCTGAAAAGAAGAAAAAAGTAAACCACCCAAATGCATTTGCTACGTATTCAAAAAAACTATGAACCATGCAACACCCTGCTATCTAGACTGTGCACAAGTTACATTCCATGGGACTGGTTAAAATAAAGCTTGTGCTGACTGGACTTGTCTTAGGAGATCACCTACTGATCAGGTACCATGAAGAGACCTCACAAGCTTAGATCAATCGTCAGGGAGACCTACAGCTGAACAACATGCACTGAGCCTGGAGAAATGTGACTTAAATAACGTAACTAAAAAAAGAACTACATGACGACAGCAACAAAGAATTACTGCCACTTTTGTCTTCTTTATCAATGGACTAATTGCAATTTCACACCTTATTTTACATAGATAAACACTGCATTGGATTACACACATATAGTGCTAATTTAGAACCACATATTTAAAAACTTAGTTTTCTGCTACAGTGTGAAAGAGGAGAAGAGATGATGAACTTACTGCATCGGAAACTTTAGCAGTTTTCTCCTTTTTCCCATAGACAGTGAAGTGAAACTTCCGAGAATTCCCTTGGTAAACTGCTGGGAGCTGGGGACAGAGTGAGAAGACTTTTCTATTAAGCAGCAGACTTGAAATGTCTTCAAGAAGGGAAACAAAATTAAAGAATCGAAAGACAGGATTAACTGGAATTTCACACATCTGTTAACACAATATTTTGTTCAACAGCTTTCCAAAGCCATGACAAGTTTAATCAAAACCACAGGCCTAGTTAATGATTACACCCACTGACAATACAACAAGCCATAAAAACGTCAAAAAACACAGTTAAATAAAGAGTACTGCAAATGTTTGAAAGAGTACTGCAAATGAATTCGAATGGGTTTTTTTTAAAAAAAAACACATTCTTAAAAAACAAAAACTGAAAAACACTCATTAGTGATCTAAATCCTTAGAAAAATCTGTCAAAGATGTAATCTACAGTTTTCAGCTCTGCGGTCTAGACGGGCGATTGTGCACCTTTTCAAAAGTAAAGGCTGCAAAATAAAGGTCATGTTCGAAGACAAAACGTGAAAAAGGTACAAAATAGCATAGGATCTTAAATCTTAAAAGAAATGTGCCGAAACATAAATCCTTACAAAGAGGCCATAAAACTTCTGCGAACAAATTCAGTTTCTTGCGTCCTCTGGATAACAGTCCATCATAAAGTGTCAAATACTTAAACTGTTAAATGAAATGCTAAGCAGTTAATTGAAAATAAATAACAGAAAAATACTGCAAAGTCCAAATAAAAGCGCTTATCCATCCGTCCGAGTAGGCAAGAGTGAGTATTTGCGACAGTGTAGCACAGAAATACGACACTGTTTTGTAACGTTTTCACATTGACCTTCACTACTCAAAGACTTACATACCGCTTTAAAATGCTGGCTAACTAAAAATAAACATGAAAAATATCACGACACAAAAATTTTTATGAGACACCATGAAATACTCAATACAGCATTATTCGCTGCTCGACTCCTTTTAGAGGTGAGAAACAAAAAGGTTATTTAACCCACTGGCCACATAAAGAACTACTGCTTACACAACCGCGCCAGCAGCAGCAACTGAAACTCAGGCGGCTATGAAAAGACAGAGCTGTCCGCAAAACGTTAGCAACAGCAACACCGAATTAGTGTGCAGCACGATTAAAAGACAGACACTCACGGCTTTAGATGACACGACCCTCCTCGCAAAAAGACGTGAAGCAGCGCAGACCGCAGCCATGGCAGTCCAGACAGGATCAAGTGCTAATTACGCATGCGCAAGTAGGCACTACGCGGAAGATTTCCGCCTCGCATTGGGACGTACCAAAATTAGAGCACGCCGGAGGGGGTACCCGCATTGAACCAAAATTACTTAACGAAAAGATTCTTACCATGAAATGAGTCTTTCTTACATCTGAAATTGACTATGTTTTAATAACAAAACTGCTTTACTTAATAAGGTAATAATGCATGTTTTACTTGAAGATACGGCATGTAGTCATATGTTACCTCCCTATGTTTTTCTAACTGCGTCCGTAGAGAAAAAGTGTTGTGTAATGTTTGCAAGCAGTATAAAGTGGAAGCAGTCCAGAGTGAGTTCAGTTCCAAGGTGAGTGGTCTTTCTTTAAGCTTTTGCACGTGAACGGATACATTTGCTGTACATCAGATATGAATTATTGATGAATGCAGCTATATAGTCAGATTGACAACATTATTTTAAAATGCACAGAAGCCACACACGTTCTCTGCATATGTCCTCACAGAGGGTATACGTGTTTGATAGTGCCGTACTGTCCTGGTACAGTGAAATGAACATTATTTTCAACTTTCATGTTTGCACGTTTTCATAGCTAGTGAGTTAGTAAAGTATATGTTTGTGTGACTTCATGTACATACAGCACGCTGTGGATTTCGTATGCATGGCAAATAAGAGCTCTTGTGGAAAGTAGCTTTTCACAATGTTGATACCAATGTCATCAGATTAATTTGGTGCGGTTACATCTGCTTAACCTGTAGAAGAGTGTGAACTGCACTTGGGTGCAACACGTACCGCCGCTAGCAGTATTTCAGGAAGCGAACTGAACACTCCTCGCATCCAAATGACAGATCTTGTCGTGCGTAAACACAGGACCGCAAGGAAGCTAAAGTTTCCTCGATGATGACTGATAAATTAATATTATTATAGAGTGGCAAACCGCAGTTACAGGGTACACGCAGGATGCCGAAGTCCTCGGCGTTCTCTAGTGACCCAGTCCAGATCAATTCTGGTAGGATGGGATTTCTGGGCTACAGAGACCTCATGTCCTCCTCTGTACTATTCAGTGCTTCTGTGCTCTTGTCTCTAGCTCGTCTCCATGAACAATCTGAATGACCCTCCGGGATGGAATATCCAACCAGACCAGAGGGGGGACGGGGGTGGGAACAAGTGGAATTATGCCCTTCTGGTGCCAATGCTTGGCCTGGCTGCCTTTAGTAAGTATTCAGTACTTGTGTGAAAGAGAATGCCAAAAACATTGCAGGATGCAATAAAGTTCATTGCTGTGAATTTCAGGTTTGTCTACAGTTTTTTCACACAGTTTGCTTTGACAGCCTTATTACGCATTGTCGATGTATTACTGACTTGAAAAACTGACTTCGTGGTGAACAGTTTCTAAATGTCCAGGATCAGCTGTATTCCATAGATGCCTCTTATAGCAGGGGAATGCATTATTGAAAATAGGGGGTTTCAGATATTACGGGTCCGAGCGAATACAAACATGGGATCGCTGTACCTGCGAATTATTTCAGTGCTTTCTTGTTACCTCCATTTATTTAAACTAAGAAGAATTGACTTAGTATTAGAAACAAAATTAAATAACCTCTTCTAATACATCTTATTTGTAACAAAGTTTAAGTACGTTAATGATCATTTAAACTACCGGTTGTGCCGCTACATAAGACGAATTCTACACATATTCCTACATCATTTTAAGAAACTCGAACACTACATATAATGTATGTTATAGAGTAATGACTTCTGGGGATTTTACAAGAATTAAATATTATTTACAGCAAACCAACCTGTAAATAAAGAATATTGGGAGGAGATGGTTAGTCTTAGTGGTTTCCTTATCCCCGTTTATTTAAACGAGGAGCGCGAGCCGGTAACAGCTCCGAGTTCGTCCTCCTGACCGAAAGCTCCCGGTCTCGTGCCGCCCTGTAGCAGATGAAAGAGATGGACACATTCGCTGAAACAAACCCTGTCTGGGCTGGAGTCTTCTTCATGTCTTCTTCTTCTTCTTCTTTTTGACAGCCTTAGTCCCAGACTGTCCTGGGGTCAGCTGCTTTGGTTGCTCTACTCCACTTGTCTCTGTCGAGCACATCTTCCTCACTCACTTCACATACCTCCATATCTTTTCTCACACAATCCATCCATCTCTTTCTAGGCCTGCCTCTTCCTCTGTTACCTTCCACCTCAAATTCCATTACCCTCTTTGTTGCTTCCTCAACGTCCCTCCTCATGATATGTCCATACCACCGTAACCTCGCCTCTCGCATCTTCTCAACCACATCCACCACCCTACATCGTCTCTGGATTTCTTCATTTCTGATCTTATCCTTCATTGAAATCTGCAGAATCCATCTCAACATCCTCATTTCAGTACTTCTCATCAAGTTCTCTTCCCTCTTTCCAACTGCCAAGCATTCAGCTCCATATAGTAGTACAGGTCTAATCACAGTCTTGTACATTTTGCACTTTAACTTTCTAGGAATTTTCCTGTCACAGATTATTCTTCATGTGCATCCAGTAATTGACATTCAATTCTTTCTAGTAAAATACCACTCATCATTATGGGAGCTGCAGACATTTTACTTTGCCTTTGCCTTCGACTGTAACCTTTCCAGCTTTGTATGAGCGAATCATCCATCCAGCCATTGTTCTAACACCACATGAACCAGTTCAGGGTCGCGGGGTGGGGGAGCCGTTCCCAGCGTGCAACGGGGACAAGGCAGGATACGCTCTGGGCGGGACGCCAGTCCATCTCGAGGCAGACACCAATACAAACGCCCCAGGGCCAGTTTTCCTAGAAGTGAATCAATCTGAATGAGGAACTGAGCCCGGGACCCCATAGTGCCACTGTGCTGCTCCTCAGAATATCAAATCCTCACAACATGCGCTTGTTAACGCTGCCTTTTAACAGTACATGATAATATTATTATCTCCACACCCGAAATGTTGTTTCTTTACTCTCTTTTAAACGTGGAATAAACCTTTACTTGTTCCTTTGCAGCCTACGCATGCTGACGCACCTACTTGAACTAATATTATTATTATTATTGTTAATTATTATTCTTACTGTTTTGTTCAGCATTGATTCGAGGTTGCCATTGTACAGCAAAAAAGGCCATTGTACCTCAACTGGTTTGTCCGGTTTAATAAATGATTTATTATTAGTATGAATCGTTTGTGATTGCACTGTATTTATAAGCTTTGCTGTTCGCCGTGACAGTGGGGGGTGTCTATGTTGTAGGTAGCCCCACATTTTCTTGCCTGTGGCCAACCTGATCAAGAGACGAATGGGTTTTGTCAAAGCTTGTGAAAGTTCAGGTGCTGTTCCTGTAAAGACGTGCCAGTCGCGTTCTCTCCCAGGGTGGATCTGGACCCGAGAGTCGCAGAGGGAGATCGGAGAGGCGAAAGAGAGACACGACGAGGCCCTGAAGTCCGCCGCGGCCAATCTGGAGATGAAGTACAAGGACGCGCTCGGGGAGAGCCGGCGGGCGGCGGCTCTCCTGGAGGTGGAGCTGGAGAAGGAGCGCCACCGGGTGCAGGGCTACAGGCAGGCCCTGGTGTCCCAGAGCCAGCAGCTGCTGGAGGAGAGGGGGCGGCTGCGGCGGGAGCGCGAGGGCCTGGAGGCCGAGAGGAGGCAGCTCGCCCGCGCGGGCGCCGCGGGGGTGCAGTACCGCGCGGCGCTGGAGAGGGAGAGGGAGTGGCAGGGCAGGGCCGCCCTGCTGCTGGAAGAGCTGGAGGCGGCGCTGGTCGAGAGGCAGGACGCGTACTGCAGCGTCCTGCTGCCCCGCGACCGGCGGCTGGAGGTGGAGAAGAACCTGCTCGTCAAAGCCGCCACGGACCCGATCGCCGCCGAGCTGCAACTGGAAGCCGGTCTCCGAGACATTTTCAGGCACGACAGGCACTGTGCGGACTGGCTGAATACGGATAAGCGCAGGAACGGCAGGTTGATGTGGCTTTACCTGAAGTACTGGGAACTGCAGGTCCAGCTCCAGAAGTTCAAGAAAGTGGAGGATTCTCTGTTGGGATCGCAGTCTAACCTCGAGTGACCTTGCAGCGATGCGATGAGAAGGGAGAAACACTGATAGGCACGTACTGTAGATCACCGTTTTCCTTTGCACTACTGTAAAGTCTTGAAAAAGATCTCTTGGGGGGAGGTTTGGTGTCACAGTCTGCCACTTTATAGAGACAGAAGGTCAAATCTCGTGAAAGAGCAATGCTTTGTACTTGCCTAGAAATCACGGAAATAATTGTTTTATTCATGCGTGGTTAAGTTAAAAACAGAACCCAAATGAAATGAACGAATTTGAGGTCAGATAAAGATTATAACTGCAAGTAAAGCCAGTTCCAATTAGATCACTCTCATAATAACACCTCTGTTAACTGTTGTTTTATGCTGGCAGGACCTTAGCTGCCAGACAACGTTTGTTGCAATATCATCCCTAGTATCGCAAATGTTTTTATCAAATTGAACTGCTTGAACTACGTTTAAAAAGTTGGGCTTTGGTGTGCATGGCTGAAACTAAGCTATAATAATTAAGAAGGCAATTCCTGACAGGCTGGAAGCCGTGAAATAAATGCACCTGTAATGATCAATTCCGAAGAAACCTCAGAAAAGGAACTCTTGTCCTGCAGCACCTTCTTCAATTCACGATTTCGACCACTGGGTGTCAGTATAAAGTGACGTTTTCATTACCATATTTGAAGTTGGCTGGGATATTCTACTATAATTTGATGTTCCCATTTTCACTGGTTTAACCAGGGTACCTGTATTGCATAGGGCAGCTCCTTCTGTACTATGTAATGCTTTTTTAATGTAAAGCTTGTACAGTAACGCTTTGAAAAGTGGAAAAAATGAACTCTGAACTAATTGTATTCCTGCACCTTTTGCAAGGTCAACTGTTTTAAGTTATCCAGTGTGCAAAGTGCTAGAACCTATCTTCAGTTAAACAGAGTATATTGGAGAGATTCTTCATAGATCTGGTTCCATTAACTTTTAAGATGTTCCTGCTTTGTTTCAGTTGTACTGTTCTGTGTTTTGTGACTTATGAGGATACTTGTTTTTTTATCTTCTTTTTCCAGTGTGTGATAAAATATCCTCAGGATGCACTATTCTCCTTGTGTTGTGATGACATGTACGTATGCATATACTTTGGCTTGTACAGTACACATGGTGACTTGCTAGTCTGAATAAAGGTAAAATGGGGAAAGAAGCAATTTTAAAAGTGGTAGATTATCTGGTAGACATAACTTCTGAAAGTGTAATGGCCTTTGCATTGGACTTGTATGGAAATCAGCAGATGCATGATAGTCGTTGAACCTGCTGCACACCCTCAATGTACAGCACTGTAAAACTATCCTGTCTTTTTTCAGATGTAATATATACAGTAAATCCTTGTCATGCAATTGTGAACAATCATAGTCAGTGATGTCCGTGATGAGGGTGTCGAATAAGGAGGAGGGATTTAGGAAAATAATAGGGATATTATTTAAAAATAAGAGGGCACAGTTGCCATGCCTGTATTTTTCAAGATTATAGGTAATCTAACAAGGTATATGTGGCTCAGGGACATGTCAACTGTATCTGATGCACTTGTACAGTGAATACTCATGCTAATGCTAATATCCTCATCTTATCAATGAGGATTTTCTGTGTTGTATAACCACTTGTTTTAAACACACAATTCCTAATGCTCTGAGGTTGAAGTCTCCAATCCTGGTACTAGAGGGCCAGTGTGTCTGTGGGATTTCCAGATCTCTTTAAAGCAGCAGCATGTTAAGAGATGTGAGAAGCTTTTAATGAGCTAACTTATGTTAAGTGCTCAGTTCGACTGAAAGTTTCCTGACACACTGGCCCTCCAGGACCAGGACCTAGACCAGAGGCTAGAAACTGGCAGGTACTGAACATGCTGAGTGTGTAGGACCAGAAAAGCACAGCAGACGCGTGTATATATGGTCTGTTGAAATTGATTTTATTAAATTCAACTGAAAAATTAACATTAATCAAAATTAATGTGGGCTACTAAGGCCAACACCAACAGAGATTAGCTACAGACTCAGTCATGATACGTTACTGAACACAACTGAAAGTACTCTTTTGAATGATGTGGTGACTGCCCAAATTGGCCAATTAATTAATTAATCAATTGTCAGGCATTCTTCATCTTTTCATACCCCTTAATCAGCTAATTAGCCCAGTACAGGTCGTCACCACACGAGACTCCAGTCTAGTGAAAGTTTGTCACTGTCTCGCATACAGTGTATCATAACTAATGTACCAGAAGTACTTCATCAAACCCATTTTTTTCCTTCAATGTGGCACAACATTGTCATATTTTGTTTTTGACTTCAGAAAGGCCTACTCTGTCCAGTACATCCATCATTATGTGAAATGAATACACTGGATTGCACACACTTCATCCTCGAAAACTCTTTCGGAACACTTGCGCAACACCCTCTACATGTATTAATATATTTTGGGATAGTTTTTGAAGATATTCAGTTATGCCTACGCTATATTTGGAATCAGATTATGTCAGTGAACATGATACCATCTAACATTGTCCAAGTTCATTCAGCAATGGGACTGCTAGTTAAGTTCAGAGGGGATGGATTCACTACACCCACCACTGAACAGCAGCCCCCACCTGTGTGACACAAGGCAGACATGCTACAGCAGCAGCTCCACTGCCCAGCAGATCAGGCAGATCTCTGAGAAACTGCTTCACCTGTTGAATTAAGGCAGATGTGTCAGAAAAGATCCGCAAGCCCAGAGTGGAATTTATCCAGGATTAACACCCCACTGCTTTGAATAGTGCCTCGGGATCATTAATGGCCAAGAAGTTCAGATCTCAGTTTTACCCTTTCATCTGAAGTACAGAGTGTAGTACTACTGTACATAAATAAGCATTTTAATTAGCCTGCTTGCTGAGAGATTAATACAGTGAAATGTTTACAGTGTTAACATTCTCTGTAATTGATTTGTAGAGACAAGGGTCTAATGTCCTTAACATTTTCTAATTTTCTTTAACTCAACTCCTTTCCTAGGACAAATATACAAAAACATGATCACATTTTTTGTCCCATGTTAAGACATTAAGACATGTTAAGACATTATACATTAGATATTATTAGAATGAGTTCTGTTCTCTGTTGTGTCCGTGTTCTTATCGTGTGAGTTTGTGTTTTTATCTACTTTATGTTGTTATTTTGCTCTTTAGTTCACCCAGAAGTAAAAGCTTTTAAACACATTTCCCGATGCAAAAATGTGAATTGTGGTGGAAATGTACAAGTTAATGTTACAAGTGAGTGTCGCAGCACTGCAAGGAGCTTTGAGAAATATTTTCCGAATCTATTTATACTGCGACAGTTATGTAAGCAGAAACATTATACAACTGAGTTAAGTTAGAGAATATGTTTGTCATGTAAATGCACTCTTGTAAACTTTTATTCCATGCTGAAAAGAAAAGAAAGGAAACAACGTTTCGGGTGTGAGCACTTCGGCTCACACCCAAAGAGTGATTCCTTTCTTCTCTTTTCAGCATGAAATAAACCTTTACTTGTTCCTTTGCAGCCTACGCATGCTGACGCAGCTCCCTACTTGAACTACTCTTGTAAACATGTTCGCTAAGATCTACAGAATCAATACATTTCACTAGCACATGCTTTTTAACCCTTTTATCCTTTACCTCCATGACTCCAGGGTGAAAGTTTATTTTAGTGTTTTATTTTTACAGTTAAACCCTTAGCTTCTCTGCACAGCCTGCACATTTTGAGGAGAAATTAGATTTGAGGCTCTAAAGTCTAACTGCGTAGGCTGGATCATTTTGGGCATGTCTTTCTTAATCTCAGAAATCTCTCTTCGTTTGGTACTGAGGCCGCTCGACAACGCCTTCTCGAACTCCATGATGGCTTTGAGTTCTTCTGGGGTTGGAGTGCGGTGGTGCTCTTTCTTAGCCTTGCTGGGCACAAACATGGGAACAGGGAGGACGTTCTTGTAGGGAAGCTGGTATTCCTTCATTTTCTCCCCCAGTATGCCCAACTTTATCTTCTGGTTGGGGGATCTCTGCACCAGAAAATGAGCCACTTGCTTCTTCTCATAGCTCTCCTTTCGCGAAGTGTTTTGCTCGAACAGCGTTGTCCTGAGAGTGGGTTACAACAGTTTGTTAGAAGCACGTAAAAAAAAAAAATTAGCTTGTTTTATTTGAGCTCATCCATCCATTTTCGAAACCGCTCCATCCACTATAGGGTCACTGAGGAGCTGGAGCCTATCCCAGCAAGCAACGGGAGCAAGGCAGGATACACCCTGGACAGGATTCCAGTCCATCACAGGCTGCACACACACTGACACCAGGAATTTCGTTTTCCCCAGAAACCAATCAACCTACCAGTATGTGTTTGGACTGCGGGAGGAAACTAGAGCACCCAGCAAAAACCGCCGCAAATGGGGAGAACATACAAACTCCATGCAGATAGCACCCCAGGTCCAGAATCGAACCCAGGGCCCCAGCACTGCAAGGCAACATTGTTAACCACTGCGCCATCATGCAGTCCTTGTTTGAGCCTGTTATGGGCAAAATGTATTGAATTTAGGGGTTATGGGTGAAATACAAATGTTACATTGAAGTCCTGAAATTGACATACTGATTGCGATTCCTGTGGTGGTCTAAGGTTGTTAAGTTAGCAGGATATAAGTAAGCTTACAGTACGAGCTGGAGTGTGAGTGAGTAGCAGTGTTACAAGGCTCTGAACAACTATATGAGCTATGTAAAAAAACAAACTAGCCAAAGGAAACCTAGCATTTTTCAACTGCAGATCATTTCAGCTTTGATGTTAGCGATCTGATACAGACCTCCAATTTTCTTTTCTTATTTTAACTTAGAACTGTCTTACAAACAAGTTGGGATTCATTGTTTTTTTGTCTGTGTCACTGTCATCATTATCACCCATCTCTCTCGCAGTTCCTAACAGTTCTTAATCAGGTTTTAAAAAAGCTTATTTTTTAACAAAATACAAACTTTAAGGTCACGATAATATGCAAACACAAAAGAGCTCCCCAGGTACCCTGATACACATATTTTCTACTCATTACATAATAAACCTTTTTGGCTTGGGTTAGGTCTGGTACTTACTTTTCCTGAGGTCTTGTTTCCATATCCAGATCCAGCCATGTTGATTGATAAAATTCCTTCTTCCTGACATTGTCTTCCTTCACATCACAATAGGCGTTGAAGAGATAAGGGATATCCTTTGCAGCATGGGAAGGCATGTTGGGGAAAGCAGGCTTCTCAGATGTTATGGATAACTGTTTTATGCAGGCTGCGTGTTTGCTTCTGTTAAATGACAGTTTTCTCGGCACGGTCACGGGCCTCTTAAATAATGTTTGGTCTCTATTTTAGTTGCAGTGCATCACTGCAAATGTGTTCATCATGTCAGGTGCCAAAATATCTTGTGTGACCAGTGGGAAAAGAGACTGACTAATCCCACATCCATGTAATGATATTCATTACACAGAAGAGGCCAGAGGTCACGTGTGCCACTGACTGACACATGATGCCTTTTTATTTACTGCCACTGAACACAGCTTTAAATATTTCAGAAATGTTAATGGTAAACAATGAAGGAAAAGTGTAGGCATATTTTCTGTGCTTGTATCTACTACAACATTGGTCATGAAGGTGTAACAAACATAATCCTTTTGTAGGACTGGAAGAAAGATCATCGAGCCCATTCAGCTCGTTTGGTTGCTGGTAGCTAATTGATTTGTGGATCTCATCTTGGCATATCCTGAAATATGCAAGGGTACTGGCTTCAACAGTATGGCTGTTACTTGTTTCAGACACCCACAATCTTTGGTGTAAGATGATGTATGTTACAAGGTGTACAGATGAAAAGAAAACATAAACCAAGTTTACTAAATGCAGCCACACTATTCAGATCAAACAGAAGGAAAAGCTGGTGTATAAAAATAGACCTTTGTCCACGATGAGAGAACATTACAATATTTGAGAATAGCAAGAGAACGAATGGATGTTCTCAAAGTTTTGAGTGAGGAATGGATAGCACACCAGAATTAATTGGCCAAGTTTTTGTGGTAAGTGAAAAATCCGTAACCAGTTAAGCACGAGATAAACCAATTAAGGGGTTTGAATACGAGTGGGAGCTGGGCAGCATTTTCCCACTGAATGATCTTATTTCATTTTAACCTGATGATCAAAATACCCTTGTCTATGGTTTTGTACTCTGCATTTTTTCTGTTCCTGTTATTCAAAGCTGATAATGCCTTTGACTGGGCTGGCTATTCCAGGACAAAAAGGTTACAACTGTACAATTACAATTATGGTTTCCTTATTCATTTTTGTATACATATGCTCCTTTAAGACCTTTAATAGACAGAAAGGCTGGAGTCAGAACGAGGGTTAAGCAGATGAAGAATTTGAAGAGAAGTGTCTATTGGTTTTGTCAGCTACTCTATTTTCACGTGTGAAAAACTAACATGAAAATCTTCTAAGAAGTGGTCTGCAGTATCTAAAAAAGACAAAAAAGAAACACAATATGCGCTATATTGCCAGGATAAGTCTAATTGCGGTCAAGAGATTTCTATAATTCTCCCACTGTATGCTAAATAAATTTAACAAATCATTCCGAACAGGAGACTCTCTAAATATTCAAAATATTACAATATTAATACTTTTAAGCTTCATTTCCTAAAGTGCTCCTGAAAAAATGCAAAAGCAAATCCTTTGTCAGTCCAATTTCAAACAATTAAAGACTTTTTAAAAATACATTTAACTGCATTACTTCAAGAACAGGCATCTGAGCAACACTTAAAATGCTCACCACCATGTTTTTTTTTTGTTAAAGTCAGCTTTAAGAAGGCCTTGCATATGTTTTGCTTTCTTAAAAAGTATGAAATTTAAAAATTAAGATGCAACATTAGGTGTTTGGGGTGGGGGGGAATCATGTGTAACAGACTACAGTACACACAAAGGAAGAGCTTGATTGAGTAGTAAAGAGAGATTACAAATGTATCTCTTTAAGGCCAAAGAATGCAATGTCAGGCCAGGAAATTCTTTTGCATCATTCAACACACTTGGGTGTCATATTACAGACAGTCAAGGCCAAATCAACAGAGCTTCTGAAATGGACACCCTGTCAATTGCTGAAGCTTTTAACAACCTCTTTTTTCCTGACCAGTGAATAATGTGATGTGGAAGATAAGTTACACACAGCGACGGCCATTCTGGGGGACTGTTCATCAGACTGAAAGCCAATCTTCATTCCTGAAGTAAGAAAGGACATTTTTCTTGTTGAAAAGAATGTTATGAACCAGTTTTAAAAGAAAGGAGTGTTCCTTTTAGTTTTATGGTAACAGACTTTTCTCACCTAGAGCCTGTCAAAGGAATCTTAGAATCCTATCTGTGCCCTTTTACTTACTGTATGCAGTGACCTGTTTACAAAACCAGTGATACTGTGGTGACCGGGTTGTGAAGGGCTGTGTTAGGTCTCTGGATTCTTAAATAGAAGTGTTGGGTTCCCACATAGACACTGATTCCAGTGATTTACCCCCAGTTAATCAGTCCATCCCGCTGTGTATTTGGTTAAACAGTATTGCACGGGGTAACTCCGTCACGGACCATGAAGGCGTGAATTGAATACTGCCTGCTTAATGCTACAAAAACTGGAATAATCTACGCCTGTAGGCCCAGGTATGGGCTTTACCTTTTAAAGCAGAAGTGTGTTAGTACAAAAGGATTACAGAGATCAGTTGCAAGTAAATAGGTCTGGGTGTTTTGAATGAGTGGCTATACTTTCTAGAGCCAAGCACAGAGCTGAAATTGATGTGGTCCATGGTCTGTGACACCACCTTTTAGCTTTGGTCTGCCAAGAATAGGCTGCAGTTTGGCAAGTTTATCAATCTCAACCAGCCAGCTGTAAATGCAGCTTGGTTGCAGTGTATGGGTCCATAGCAGACTGATAATCTAGTCACTGTATTAATTTGAATTTAAGACTTTTGATATATACCCTGTCACTGTGCCACCTGTGCCACTGCTTGACAAATGCAATCTAATGCTTCAGGCATTTTGCCATATTCACTTTTCCGTGCAAACACATCAGTACTCCCCGCGGAGAATGGGTAAGCTGTCTCCTGCCCTGGATATGGTTTCATTACATTTTGCAGCAGTGAAGCAGAACATGAGTAAGCCAAGCTTTGGCAGTGAATCCACTCTGAATGGTGTCCAACAAGAACAGCCCGTCCTAATGATTTCAGTAACTTATAAAAGTCCTTCAAAAGTGGTGCATGTTTAATAAGCGGGACACATAATCAAGGCTGTTTTCACAAAGCAAGAAAGTAATAGTGCTAATAACCATGTCAGAGGTTTCAAACTTTTTCTTCCGTAGATGCGAGTAACTCTTCATACAAGCAGATATATATTAGTGACTATATTTCTTTTACTTCTTGTGTTTTCTGATCCCATTCATTTTCTGTTGGTTCCCTGAAGACGGTTATTTCCTATTCTATGTTTTCCTAGGAAAAAAGCTCATTCTCTTACTTTGGAAAAGCAAAATGAAAATAAGTGATTTAAGAAAATACAAAAGTTAATTACACAAGAATACTTACAAGAATAGAATCTGGGAGCTGAACACCCTATTTGAAATACAGTAAATACTGTAATCAGATGTACATTTTAGATGTCTGATGTCTATTTTATGGAGATGCAATAATAACATTTTGCTAGATCTTATTATTTTCTAGTAATACTAATGCTTATGAAAACACCCGAAACACTTTTTAAAATAAAATCGAAACCAAACAAAATCACTGCAAGTCAACACATAGGCTGTCTTCCTTTAGGCTGGCTCAGAGCTGTGGGGCTCTGAAACAGAAACGCTTTGTACACATCCAGGAAAACATACCCAGACTCTGTGTCTCCATTCCCCTCAGCACACCCCACAGAGCGCTTGTAATTAACACCAGAAATAGAAGTCTTGTGTCCCAGAAGATGCACTGGGGAAAAGATGAGCATGGCCCAGGCTTGAGCCTTGTGGGACCTCCTAAGCTTGACAGGTGACAATGAAGTGAGCAAGCATCATCTAACTGGACTTCAGACGAATCCCTAAGAAACAGGCATCTGATTTCTTCAAAACACCAGTTGACAGCTTGAGGCAGAGCAAAGTAGGCTCATTGCAGGGCTTTATACCAGCTCCTCTGCTCTTTGAACTGAGGACAATCCCAGCGCACTCTCAGATAGCTGATTGCTAGCACCTTGTTATTCACAAGCAAATCTGAGCAGTTTGCACATTTTTCATTGTACATCCCTGACTAAAATCTCTACACTAATTTCAGTTGAACCTTTTATTCCTGGCAGTTACTGTAACATCCAGCAGAATATATACAGCAGAAGGCTTCAGATTTGCACCAAACTGCAAGATGGGAAATATGGCCTCTAGTCATTTGAAACCCTACTGTGGCATCTGATGTCTCGATGTTCTGTTAGACAGCTCTGGTGGTTGCATAATCTACATTTCCCTTGCTAATGATTTGTCTGACAGTACTTGATTTGGTCATGGCACCACTGTAGCTCTGAGGTACAGCTGTATTGAGTGTTTTTGATTCCTCCTAAAGCAGCAGTCATAACAGTGGCTCAAAAGCTGCTGAAATGATTTGCACGTACAGTAGGCGCCTTGCCTTTTATTTTCAAAATGCATTCTCAGTTCTCTCTCGGATAAGGGCAACAGACTGCGGAAGAAGAGAACTGCTGCTCTGTGTGAAATGTGTACTTTGCTTCAGCATTGCCGATTTCATCAGGATACTGGGAAAAGCATTGATTAATTTTTATTCATTCACTTTTACATGATGCATTTTATAAATTGTGGGGAAAATAGCTGGACTCTGTTGCTTTGCTTTTGCCCAAGCAATTGAGCTGATGAGCTGTGGGGAAAACTGTTTACTGACTTTCTGCTTTAAATATTAGTTTTAGAAAGTGTGGGTCATACTTCTATGTAATCAAGTAATTACATTACTTCTGCATTTGTTATTGTGTGAAGGGGGTGTTGTAAATGTGCAGCACTGTGAAATGTCCAGGCAATGGCCCATTCACCTTTCAGTTAGCTCAAGAGTGGGTTTCCTCCAGCTCCTCACAGTCCAGACACATGCTGCTAGGTCATTTGGCTTCTGGGAAAACTGGTGTCCCTGGTGTGATCGTCTGCGTGTCTGTCTGCCCTGTGATGGACTGGCGTCCAGTCCAAGGGTAGGTGGGTGCTGTAGACCACTAAATCTTCTCTTACTCTTCAAGAATTTATATCCACAACCCTCAGATGGCCAAGGGGCATTGACAGCCCAATAGACTTCTTCAGAACCAACCATTAGTCTCAAGCAACTCTTTTTGAGCCTAGGGTTGTGGGGTCTGGTACAAGCCACCCAGCCTAACAAGACATCAGCCAAAGGAGATTCTTGTATAAGCAGCTGCTAGCAACCAAACAAGCTACATGGGCAGAAGGGTAATCACCTCTCATCCGTAACCGATGTT